GAAGCTGCTCTTTGTGCAGAATGACAGGATTGATTTCAAAACTTTTCATTTTATATTTTTCGATAGGGCGGCCGAGTAGCAGGGATAAGTGGTTGAGTTCAGTGGGTGGTAGACAGTGGCATATGTTTGCTTAAATCAATGCTACCGATGATGAGGATGACGACAACGACAACGATGGCGATGGGGATGGCGATGGTTATGACGATGGTAATGATGATGTTGATGTTGTGATGATATTATAAATGACTGACTGACTGACTAAATGTGTTGGCTTTCAGTATGATTTTGCTTTAGTTGAGCTATTGTCGGTGTTGGTTTCAAAGTTGCGTACATGGAAAGGGACGAAGATGTACGTTTCTGGTATGGCGAAGCGATGATGGCTGTAAAAATATTGCTGATGAATTTAATTTGCATAAACAATTTATGATTTCTTATTGTTGTGATATGATTTTTTATTCATATGCGGAAGGAAATGTCAATTGAAGTGGCAATGCCACTTGCTTTGACAAAATTTTTGACATTTTTTTTCCTTTCCATTCTCGTATTTATTTGAACTCGAGTGTTTATGCTTTTACATCAAACAATAAAAAAGCAAATAAAATACAAAATATTTGTATTAATATTCAAAAATATTCCTCCTTTTATTCCGACTTGATCTTTTTCTTCATTCATCCTTCATGATGTGGTCTTCTGTTTGCTGGTTGCTTCTCAAATTAAGAGCAAAATTCCTAACATATTTGGAAAAGTTAAGTACAAACCGTATCAGAAGCGTGCAATTTGTATAAAAGCATTGAGGTTTTTGTACATTTCATCGATGATGCTGATGGTTCAGTGCCTAAACGAGTATCAATGGCAAAACCGTTTGCCTCCGTTGATGCATTTTGCATATTCATAAAGGTTTTAATTTCATATCGCTTACAATTAGTACCAGCAAAAAACGTACACGCCTACTACGTCGTTCAGATTTGCTTTTTCTATATTTAAAACTTAGGTTTTGAGGCTTTCACATACTCAGAAAACAATTTGGCAATCCTTTTTAATTACTTGTACATTTGCGCAATTTTTATTAGTCCCACCCATCACCAAACCCGTCACCCAGCACCGTCGCCATTTCCTAACCACGCTTGCAATCCATACCAGTCTTCGACACATTTACATTTTTAGAGCTTGGTTTTTAAGGATTTGGTGCGCCTGCCAGGCAGCTTGGCGAGCTTCCTTACCCACGCCGGCCGCAACGCCACTTTGCATGTTCTTTTGACATCAAAGCAAAATGCAAATGAATGTGTTAAGTTTGAGTGGAATTTTGTGAGTCCTTGTGAGTTGTGCATACCTGTTTTTGTTCTTTAATTAAGTTGCAAAAATATCTTTTCTTCTCTGCAGTAAAGAGGAGTCATCCGAGAACAGAACAGTTTCTTTGGAGTTCATTCATTAGAGCTTCTAAATATATGCTCAGATAATTGTTTTCATTTATAAACACATTTACATATTTTATGCTTTTTTTTTTTTAATTATGTATAACATTTTATACGATTCATTAAAAAAAAGCATAGATTAATTAATTGCTCTGTGTACAGATGTAAATAAACGGGGTTTCTATAACACAACTGGAACAGTTGGAAGATTTGGTTGTTAGATTCGATATCTTATTTACATTAGTTATATAAAATGACATGTTAAAGGAACTTGATGAACTCTTCTCCGAAGTTTCAACATGCTGAAGGATCTTGATGAACTCTTCTCCGAAGTTTTAATAGTCCGCTTTATGATAAATGTCTACAAAACGAAAGCGTTAAAATACCGACCATATAATGGTTACAATTTCCATACTTACAACCAAGACTTACAACTCAAATTTTTAATAATTATATTATTACATTCTTATATTTTTATATTATTATCTTACTATATTTTTATATAATTATATCATTATATAATTATATTATAATAGGTATTATTATATTATAATTTTATGTTATATTTTCATATTTGTATATTTCTATATTATTATAACACTAAATTTTTATAATATTATATCATTATATTATTATATTATAATATTATTATATTATCATAGCATTATGTTATTATACTATTATATTATATTATTATTAATAATAATATTAATATTTAGAACTGGTGGCTAAAGTTATTTATGGCTATAGCAACACTTCTTCTGAAAATTCTGCTTAAAACAACATATATATATATATATACTGATGATTAAAATTGAGGATACTTCCTACTAACTTCATATGATATTAGAATTTAATATACAGCCTGTATACGCTAAATACATAAGCGGTAAATTTACGAAAACTCTTAAACAGATTCTATCATACCAATTCTTTTAAAAAACGATTTAAGAAATTATATATAATAATTATCTTATAGAATAAAGCCTAGTTCAATATTTGAAAGACCTATACTAATTTTAACTGCATGTCATTGATTCCATCCCATGATTTCGTACAATAACTACTGACTAAATAAGTTCTAAGTAAAATTCTACTATATTTAGCAACAGACTTAATCCGTAGTGATAAGTTCATTCAAATGATTCACTAATAATCCCATAAACATTTTGTAGACCAATTTGAAATTCAAATAAAGTCTCTTCCTCTAAAACGTTATTTTAAGGTCTGCAAAAAGGCAACAACCGTTGGGATTCAGATTAAGAGTGCATGTTGAATGGGAAAGAACTATACTGTATAGTACTTTTGTGTAGAACTAAAGGTAAACAGTAGCATCTTTCGAGAACCTACAACTGAGTAAATTTTTTAAGCCTCAAAATGTTTATAGAGGTTTTTATAGTTTCAAATGTAACTGAATCCAAATCGAGTTTTTTTGCAGGAACTCAGATTAAGTCATTAAGTTTAGTATATAATTATTTAAATCTTACAACAAAATTCTAGAGTATTTAGTCTCACTAACACATAGTATTTGAAGAGCTGATAAAACTATAAGGCTGAACATCATAGAAAATTGTTTTGAATAAGTAAGTAACCCCTGATTACTAGTAGTCTAACAGTCATGACTTTACAAGTAGTAAACATTTTATTGAGTGATAAGAGAGATGGGGAGAAGTAGTCACTACAACAATAAATGTCCTTTATTAAACTCTAGCTGCCTCAAAAGCTTTACATATGAAAGTTGTTGGTATTGTGGACCTACTTAAGGATCCTAATACTTACATTTTTATTAAACACGTACGAAATTTATATTTAAATAATAAATGTCGGAGTTGAGATGTGGAATGAGGAATTCAATTCATGTATGTTTGCTTAGTAATCCATTTATGTCTAACGAAACTTTATTATTCTAAGATCTTACTAAAATCTTCCTTAGATCTGTAAGTAAATCAAATAAACTGCATATATCAAACCTTTTAAGGTTGTTAGAAACTCTTATAGATTTTGAATTTACTATATATATGTATGTTGGGTCTTTTCAAGATATTCAGAGCTCGATCTCAGTAGATTCCTACTTTTTAAAATTTCTACTATTAACCCAAACTAACCTATTGCTAAATATAATTCAAACGTTTCATTTATTCAACCGATTATTTATTCAACCGAAATAAAAAAAAATTATTTATTATAGTTAAGACTGACTTTATGCTTAATTTTATAAAAAAATGCAGTTCTATATAATAAAATACAAATCGATTATAATTCTTCCACTAAATGCTGCACATATTCAAAATACCATAAAAATGTTTCTAATATTATCTTAATTTTTTATGTCATATAATGCCCAAGTCAATAACTATAAACATAACTAGCACTATAAACATCTTTAAAACTTAAACTAAGTATCAGTACCTCTTACATATAGATCTGTATATTATGCTTGCATCTAACTATTTCATAATAATAACACTTCTAGTGATCATTAAAAATATATCTACTCTAAGTCTCCATAAGTCCAAATTTTTCTTTACAAAGTGATACTTCGAGTTATGGAAGTTTGACAGTAGTTAGAGATTCTATATAACAAGTCTATGCTCCTGAGGTAAAGTACTTCGATTTATTTTTTTTCACCACTCGATGAAAATCGATCTCCTGTCGCTTGAAAGTGTGTAAGGCTGTCTGCTGCTATGTATTTATGGAAATGATGCATCCAGCTTTTATTTGTTATAACATCGTTAGTGTAATTAATGTTCAAACTTCATACATTTGTTGCCGGTAGATGGCGTGACTGCTTTTTGTTGATGAAATCATCTATATCAACATTTTTTAAACCCGATAACTGAAAAACTAAACTATTAAGGAATAAAGCATTGTGGAAAAATTTGTTCAGAATAGTTTATTTTAAAAAGATCCGTAGTTAAATCAATGCGCATATATTTCGATACTTCCTTCCAATTTCTTTAATAAAATATTAGTAAAAAAAAATAGTTAATTTTTAAATAATTTTTTATTGAAATATATTTTTGTTGTTTTTTTGTTTTATAATGTTCAATTCAGTTTTTTCAATTCAATTTTTAGTACCACTTATAATCTAAACAATTTAAATATACAATACATCATTTTTTTAAGTTTTAAATAAATATCATCATCAATATACAATTCAATAATTAGATTTTCTGTTTATATCATTAAAAGTAATTCTCTTTATATGCATATTAAATACAATAAATATTTGTTTATATATACTAAATCCTGTGTTCATTGAAATAAGGTCAACGTTCTTGAGAACCGTGATCGATCATTCGGATTTAAGCATTTAAAAAATTTAACAAGTCCTTAACCAAATCCTTTAAGTGCAAGCCTCAGGCACTCGGCTGAGAGTAGCGCGACTTTTAACTTGACTTCTATGCAAAAAGCACAAAATAATAAAAATATTTTGAAGATGAAAATTCTAATTAAAATTATTTATAAGAAATAAATTTAATAAAATTATGATATCCTTTAATAAATCGTTTTAACAATCATTTCAACGTAATAAATAAATTATTTTCAAAATTGCAAAAATTTATTTGACAAAGTAAGTTCCTTTGTTTGAGTTACTCTAATTTTTTTATACATTTTTATAAATCAATTGATTTTCTTTAGTATCTTAAAAAAGTCCTATTTCTTTATTTTTGTTTTAAGTAAATTCTTCATAAAAATCACACTTATTGCTTGACTACGTGCTAAGTGAAGAGAGTGGGTAGTAAATATTGCGGCCTTCCTTCTAGTCGTTCATGCACGGTTCGGTCAATATTAACCAACCAACCAAAATATCTACCATATTTTGAAATTTCTCGGTAATGCAGTTAACTTTGACTGAGTCCGTACATATCCATTTAGCGTTGAAACCTTTCTAGTACAACAACAGCAACAGCAACAGCAACAGCGAACGGCTGTCATCAACGCTTCTTACTCAAAAGAATCCATTAAGCGCACGCACGGCGCTGCCCAGGGCAGTGCACTGCTCATTGGCGACTGTAACATCAAGAGTTTCGTTATCGGTGACGGTATCATCTGTCAGCACATTGGCTTCAACAAATTCCGCTGGAGTTTCCTCGCAGAAATGTGCCAGATTTTCATTTGTTAGAACTGCTTCTGTACTCGCAGTTGCCGCTGCAGCGGCGGCGACAAACTGCAGTCAGTCGATAAGTATGCTCTTGGAGGCAGACAGTGAATTGGCTGTGGTAGCCAGCGTATCGGCATAGTATCGCTGTCAAAATACTTTGGCTATGAATGGTACATTATCCATTGCGGATACGGCGGCAGCAGCGGATAGACGCTGATGATGATGATGTGTTGCGATTACTTGCGTAGCAGCGGAGGCACCGTTATTTGTAGCGTTCGGCACACCAGCCGCTGTACTGGCAGCAGTTGCTAGGTGTATAAAGGCCGAACTGGCTGAATATTCAGAGGCGGTGGTACGAAAATTGTTTGTTGGTTGTGCATGTATATGTTGTGCGTAGTGGTGCGTTGCGGAAGCCGCTTGGTGATTAGCAGCTGCTGCGGCAGCCGACAATACTTGGTATGGTTGAGGAGTGTGCCAAGCAGAGCTGCTAGCCTCACCACCACTAGAAAGCGGTGGCGTGGTTACATTAATCGGTGGGGATAAGCTGCCAGCCGATGAATCCGGCGTCAATTGGCTAGCATGGTGGTGATAGGCATGTGCAGCTTCACGGCGCGTATACTCACGTCGACGTTCTGAGCCTGTGGGCATATCGTCATCGAAGGAGCTGCCACCTAACTCGTGCAATTTGCGCATGTGCTTCTTCAGATCGAAATTACGACAAAAACCTTTGGCGCAAACCTTGCAAGTGTAGGGTTTCTTATCATTGTGTGTATGCATATGAAAGGTGAGATTATAGACTTGATGAAACGCCTTATTGCATATATTGCACTTATATGCCTTTTCCCCACTATGCGTGAGCTTGTGATTCTTATAGTTGCCCTTCTGGTGAAATCCTTTGCCGCAATACTCGCATACGAACGGTTTGTAACCGGCGTGAATGCGTGTATGTGTATTCAACGTGGAGGAGCGATTGAATGCCTTGCCACATGTTTGACATTTATGTGGTTTTTCGGCGGTATGTATAATCTTATGGCGGCATAAAGTAGAGGCCTGCCTGAAACCTTTACCGCAAACTTTGCAAACGAATGGACGTGCACCGGTATGCACGGGCATGTGACGCGTTAAATTATAGTGCGCATTAAAAACCTTGCCACATTCCAGGCATGAGAAAGTTTTCTGCTTGCCACCAGTGGTCGAACCGGGGCTATCGTCTAGTGAGTTATTTGGAGATGGTGTGCGATGACGTTGCGGTGTTGGTGGCGAACTTGTTGGAATATGTTCATTTGTACGTGTTGGCGAATGTTTACGCTTTAGACTGTGATAAACGTTCACCGCATCGCGTAACTTGTGTGACGTCACTAGCGAAGTCGGCTTCTCCAATGTCTGTTGCAGTTGAGGATGTGTATTTGCTAAGGCTTGATGGTGTGCAGCAGCTTGTTGTGCTTGAGCTTGTGCAGCAGCAGCTGCAGCAGCGGCGGCAGCCAGATGATGACCCGGTGCACCGAGTGTACGACGCAATGATTGCGTGTGTAGGTTATTGAGGGAGGCGGTAAAACTGCTTAAGTGCGCTGCTCCAGTACTGGCCAACAATGTTTGCTGTTGGGCGACTGTTAAAGCAGCGTACTGTGCAGCTGCAGCGGCACACATGAGCTGATTTGGTGCGTAATAGAGTAATGGATATTGGGATATTAATTCCTGATGGCGTGTATTTACGAATTGTTGCACTGCGGCATTTGCACTCGGCACATATTTCTTGAAAGCTGAATCATAATTTTCTACATTGGTTGGAGATGAGTGAACCATCGTTGTAGCTGCGCTGATGGTCTTAGCAAAATCATGGCGATCCTGCGCCAGTTCATAGTCATCATCATTGCTTGTCACTTCTATTGGACTGCAGGAGCGTTCAGAATCTTGTGTTGTGGCATTGGAACGTTGATCTGGTTCCATTATTTTAGCTATGGAAAACTTAAGAGGACACGAACGTGTTGTTAGGTTAATTGAACTTGTTGTCAGTGTGTCATGCGACGTGGTAGGTGAAGCAATTGTACTTGTACAGTTACTGCTATTGAGCTCAGGCGAATGATGGGACTGCGATACGCTGGTGGTGTTTGTTGTTGTTGCTGCAGTGCTATTGGACTTAAGTGTTTCATTAGTATTATTGAAATTTTGCGCTTCAGCGCCTGCTCTCTGGCTAGCAGCAGTTTCCATTGTTGGGCTCTTCGATGGTGGCATCATAGCAATCACACCGGATGGACTACACGGTTGCATGCCACGAGGACTCTAAAATTGTGAGAAAATGAAAAAAAAAAGAAAGTTATATTTAGTCAAATTTGTTAAAAGCAAATCGCAACGGGTTATTAATTAAAATAAAATGCATCATAATTTTTTTTGCATATTTGCAGTGACAGAATATAAAACAAACTTAAACGAATTACTAAACACAAAAACCACAATTGAACATTATTAATTGAAATCCCAATGCCAGCAGATAGCTATGTACCGTATGGAGCGGGGACTAACCGCTGGTTTCACATACGTACGCTTCCGTTTCAGAAATGCACTCAAGTGCGATTAATTCGTGCAAACAATCCCAGCGCGCTTTTAATTTACCAAACGATTCCACACTGACTGACTGACACGCCCCATATGTGCCAACTAGACCGGGCCAAATCAATCGCAATGATTTGATTTCTCCGAATCCTTTGATTTTGCTTAGCACAAAGCACAATTTCTTCACAATTTGAGCTGAATTGTGTATGGAAGGATTCGAGGTTTCTGAAATTCCCGCCGGCAGGACATCGTATTTATTTTGCACGTTTCGACGATAGGGTTGTGCTGATCTTACAATACATAAAAGGGGTGTGCAAATGCGAGTACTCATAATTAATAAAAACTTATTTAAGGAATATTTTCTGTTTTTTTTGTTTTTTTTGTTGTTTTTTGGAATTTATTGAACTTCATTAATATGCAAACCGCAAGTTACTGGAAATCAAAGAATCGCGAAAGGAACGCGGTTCAGTGAATGCAGTTAGGCACAGTTGTCTTGAATTAAAGTCGAATTCGAAAATAGTAAATCGTAATTCGTAATTCGCAAATCGTAAATAGAGAAAGGAATCGAATAGAGCTGAACCCTTTCTGACAGCTCCGAATCGAATCATTTGTTTGCAGTCAATTGTGTGATTTGCGTTTAACCCGTGCGCTCCCGCTACGGCAAATGTGGAAACGCAAATTAATTGAATGCTTTTGCATACACTTGAGTGCATCCTCACAATATCCATGCCCAATGCGTATGATGAACACTTCCGCTTTCGACTTGACTTTTTGTGTACTGAGGTACTAAGGTACTAAGGTACTAAGGTACTGAGGTGCACAACTTGGCTTTTGTCACAATTCTTCAGTGCTGTGCAATATTTGCCCAACACCCCACTTCAAAGTACCCTTGAAAAGCTCATGTTTATACTCTTCACATACTTTCGAGCATATTGACAGCAATCACTTCAGTTTAGCATTATTTTTATCACAAAATAAAAAAAAAAAAACTTTACTTAGTTTTCTTTGTCCTGAAAATTATTGAGAATTCCCTAGCGAAATACTTTAATTATTTTTTTTTTTTTTGTCTTGTGCTGTTTTCATTGCAAGCTTATGCCAATTTTTATTTTATTTTCTTGTTTTTTGTTTTTTGTGTTTTGATTTGTGATTTTATTTTTTTTTTTTTATTTTGATTTTGTTTTTGTTTTTTATTTCTCGTACACGCCGCATTCGAGCTTGGATCTGCAGTGCCGCGCGTAATGCTAACGTGTTTATTTGTTCACCATTAAATTTTTTACACTTGGCTGCGATTGCTGTAAAGCTAACTTCCGTCTTCTTCTTTTCTCTCTTCTTCTGCTTGAAGTGATGCTAATGTGCGACATCCGTTTTTTTTCCTTTAACCGCAAACATACCGAACGTACCCGATTTTTGATATAACCCACATGGATTTGAAGAATTTACGCTTGCTTATTGTATGCGAGTGTGAGTGTGTGTGGATGTGAGTAAGTTTTTATGTCGGCGCGCCTCTGTTTAATTAACTCGATTTGCCGCTTGAGTGGGTCAATTTTTTCATTGAAATAATTCCTTTGGTGGAAAATTATTCGTAAGTGGTCTCCGTAGTGTTAAAAATTAAATTAACTACATGAGAAGTTCATTTGATGTAATTTTTAATACACAGTCTTCCGTAGATGCATTTATTTATGACAGCACTGAATTAATACTTTAGATAAGAGATAAAAATAGATATGAATAGATATGGATAGTTGCAAAAGTAGACTGTAAATTGAGAGATAGATTCTTAAAGGAAAAAGAATAACTGACACATTTGTCGAAATGGCTAAAATAAGTTTATAGATCGGTGAATTGTTCAATTATGAGGACGAAAAGGCTTCCTATACTGTCAAAGTAGCACATAAACACCGTTTTATTAATACACAAACAGAGACAAGGCTCATAATATAATTTTAAATCTAAGTTTAAGGTGTATGACAAGCTTATACGCCTATAAGTCATTGATCGATAAGTACCCGAACCCAAATTGCAAAAACTTTGGATAAAAAGTAAAAAAGACAATCAAACATTTACTATGTGGAAGACTTCTAATTTTATTTTTAAGTCTAGGATTTGTAGTTAATGAAAATGATTTTTTTTGCCACTCTTTATTTAAGGTGCTCGACAAGCTCAATTAGTCGTGAGCTGATACATCACTTATCGGCAAGTGCCCGTACCAAAATCTAAGAAACTTTAAGAGAAAAAGAGACAATTCAATATTTACAGTCTGAATATCTAGTCTAGTCTGGTCAGAGAAGTAAAATCAGATAAATACTTTATAATCTAGTTACATCTCTACTCTATTCCATTGTCTCTTCATCTTCTTTCATCCTGTATCTTCTGCAATTTTTCGGAAAATCCCAATTTTTCGACATTGATAAAGTCTATATAAAGTATATATACAGTTATCAGCGTTGAATACAATGTTATCTTGTTGGTTGCTTTCAACTTATCTGCTGAACTGTTATTGTACTGTGTAGAACTCTCTACTACTTTGAATTACTTTTTGTTTCTCTAAATGTTGATGATATTATTTCATGGTAATGGTAATATAGGTAAACCTCTACTCTAATGATACATCGTACTAATGTATCTTCCTGGCCGGTCAACTTATTAAAAACAACTTGCTAGGAAACTAAATTATGGTTTCAAGCGTTATATATTTTCGTATCAATATAGAAAGACTCGTTGGATTTAAAGCATACCTATCTTGAAAATTCTAACTTCTAATATACTATTATGATACTATGCAGCTGTTAACGAGTTTGCTAGGTATTGGGGCAGCATATAATTCCTAGCTAGTAAATTATGATTGGAATCGGTTCTGTTATGCAGCTCCACGGCCCAGAGTTTTATAGTAGAGTTAGCTGATCTACAATTAAGACTTAAGTTCACAATAAAATGACATTAAAAAAATATAAGTACTAATATCTATTAAAAGGTGAGTCTAATTCATTCATGTGCTCACAATGCAAACTTTTGAATACGTTTTTGGATAGAAGGAAATGTCTGATGAGAAAAAATGCCTTCTTCTTTAGAAAGAAGTTATAACTTTTTATCACCTTTTTTACGATTGGTTACAATTACTATAGCTTAGGAGTGCAATAATGCAGTGAGTATTCTTAATCATATTGTCAATTAAAAAGTTTTCAATAAAATGAATTTATTTAATGAGAAGAATGTCTTTTGTTCTATTAAGAACTTATTGCGGTTTACAATACTTTATTTCCTTAGATGCGTATATCTCTTATTTATCATTTATATTGTTAATAGTAATATCATATTACTTGAACGTTTATTAATAATATTATATTATTAAAAACTTTATTATTAATTCTATTATTTGTTTTTTTAATACCTTTAATTTTACTCGACATTGTTAACAAAATTAGGGAAATCGGTTTACTACAACCTATAGTTAAATTCCACGAAAATGAACAACTCTAATAAGTACTTTTATATGTCCAATTTTCAACAACTTTAGTAACAAAAAAGCAAATATTTCGCATGCGAAAATTATTTTACCTTGCGAACATTTCGCTCGCGAAAATTATCTTACTTTGCAAACTTTTCGCTCGCGAAAATTGTTTTATTTTAGAAACAATTTCTTATATCTTTATAGATATCTTCAAATTTAATTTTCTAATAGTTCTGCTCCTTTTAAAGCGTACATCACTATTATTTTTTATATAACCTTAAAATAAATAAATATAATCTTAAATAAATACAATCGTCATATTATCAAACTAGAAATCAACAGATATATTTGGATGTCTGCTATTAATTAAAACTATTTATAATAATTCTCTCATACATTACAACTGCCACAACTTTCAGTACTATTTAGGCACTTCTAAGCCAAACGTAAATAAATACTAATGTGAAGATCAAGTACTTATAAAGTGTTTAATCCCCATATGTCCAGCGAAATCCTACGCTCGTTAGTTGGTGATTTGAAAATGGAAACTAAAAGAAATTACCAATAAGTTTACAGTGCCCAGTAAATAAGTTTTACTGGAGCATAATAAAATAATACCATGCATTGTACAATTTAGTCAGCTTACAGAAGTTTAAACATTCTTGAAAAAAGTTTAAGAAGTTATTTAAAGATATAGTCAAAAAAATCGAGAAACCAGGATGCAAATTCTAGTCTACTTCTATGATTGCTATTGTTCGTCTTTTAAAAAGTTCATTTAAAATGTTTTTAAAATAATAATAATAAATATTAGAAAAATAATAACAAATACGTTTCGTTAAATATTTATGCTAATATTATTCATAAATAACAAAATTTATATCGAACATTTTGATGGGAATTTTTGAAGACTGCGAAAATGAGAAAAAATTTCAGTTCTTTATTTTTATGAAACAAAAATAATATGGGAATAGAATAAAACTCTCTATTTAATCTTGTTTAGAAATATACCTTCCACATATAATTCTTCAAGGCTATAGCACTACATTGTGCTCCTATTTAAAGCTTTTAGAAATACTTTTCTTAATAAAACAATATATATTATTATAAAGAAACAATAAATAAGCGTCCTTATTCATTTACAATAAGCTTCGGTAATTGTTTCTGATAAAATCTTATATATTATGCATATATAAGTTTGTGTTATTTCCACTGGAATAAATTGTTATTATTTATATAATATTAATACTTATTTATTTAATATTAATTTATTTATATTT